GCAAGTGTTCCACACAGATGCTGGGGATGTCATTGCCCTATTTTGTCTCAATGAGGGTGCATGGGGTGGTGAGAGCTACCTCGCTAGTACTTGCCACGTGTACAATGTCCTAGCTGCTACACGCCCCGATCTAATCAAGACGCTGTCCGAGCCTTGGCCTTTCGATGAGTGAGTTCACTACAACAGGAAGGCATTGTATCCAGCCTCCGGGACTAACAAGATTTGACCGTATTCAGCTTTGCACCAACCGGTGATGTATACAAGCTACGGCCGCTTCTCTATTACCAGCCTGCTACCGAGAGAGGTCCCGAGAGACTGATGATCCAATATTCGCGGCGGAACTTGACAGGCTACATGGACTGCAAGCGCTCAGCCAACATACCGCCACTCACTGAGGCTCAGGCAGAGGCCCTTGATGCGATCCATTTTACCGCTGAGGCCCACGCTGTTTCTCTGGATTTCCGCAAAGGCGACATTCAGTTTGCCAACAACTTGAGCATACTACACGCCAGGGGTGCCTTCACCGACTCCAGTGAGAAACAGTAAGTATCCTGGCATCGAGCGTGGGGTAAAGAAGAAGAGCTGACTTATGTTGTCCCAATAGGAGGCACCTCTTGCGGCTTTGGCTGCGTGACCCGGAATATGAGTGGGAAAAGCCCTCTGAGTTGAAGGAGCGATTTGATCGAGTTTATGACGGCGTAACCGTGGAAAACTCGGTCTATCCGCTGGAAGCTACCATACGTAGTAACAACGTGGCTACATAGAAGACAGCTATACAACAGTGCCGTGGGAATGGTCTATATGATGAGCTTTTGTTGTTTTCAAAGACAACTACAAGGTACAAATTATCAAGCGAAAACTTGTTTAGTAGCCCTCGTATCCTAGAAGATGGGTAGCATGAAGACAATGACTTGCTGGCTGTGTTGCTCCGAATGGAGTCCCTGGGAATCACCGTCTACCAGCAGTTTAGCCTATGTTATAGAAAAAGGTAGGAAAGTCCTTTCATTAGAGGCGGTGGGTCTATGTAAGAGATTCTGTAATCTAGACAAGATAGGAGTTGCAACACTGGAGCTATGTCTGGGATATTTGGGGACCTACCCTCGTCCTGGTGTTCATATGTTTCACACTAATTCTGGGGTAGTAGTCCTTGTGAAGCTGTTTAGCCATTTCTATGCCACTATAGGGATCTCATGACCTACGAACAGGCTCTGTGGCTTATCTTGCTCACACTATGAGGTCAATCCGCCCTGGATTTAGGTTTTGATCAGGCATCATTACATATATATATATCTAGTATATTATCAGTATCTTTTATAATGGCCTCTAGGAATACAGGACATAGATACAGCCAATGCTATCTATTCTGACTTGTAGAGCAGGATTTACTCTGACATCAGCTATTACACAGAAACCTCCATGGAAAGAGTCATACGTTACCCAAACCGAGCGATTACGTGTCTTAGCGAGGGGTTTGAGACCAACCCTTTGGATAATAGCCACTTCCGCCGCAGCATAAGTGGAGTGGAGTTAAAGAAGAGAGGTCGATTCAGGGAAAGGGCGTCTGCTCAGATAGCGACCTCACTGTGCATTATCGCCTTTCATGCACATTACTTACAGACTGAGAAATGCCATTCAACCTAGGACCATGATGCTTTGGTGGGTATAGTGACACATCTTCAGTATCGACCAGCTCTTTCTTACTAGGTGCGATTTTTGTCATGGTGGATATATTGAAGCATAGCCCGAATATTAGCGATGAGGTGTAGGCCATCTAAATCCAACCTTTTCCAGGTTGCTGCAAGACTTTGTACCTCCTCCATCGAAAGGCAAGAACGTATGGGCCCCCTCTTTGACTGCCAGCTCTATCAACGAAAGGCTACCTACAGCCTCTTCAACCCATCATATGCTGATGGGTTAGTTGTGTCTCCTCATCAAAATATTCCGGCATATCGACACAGTAATACTTCTCACCCGACACTAGGATTGCTTGCGAATGGAGCTGATCACCTGGCACAAATGTCCCCTTTGAATCAGTCACTTCTTCCTCCGAGATCAGCTTTAATATCACATTGGTCACATCACTCATGGTGAGCAGGACATTCTCTGAAAAGTAGGCCTTCAGCTCTGGTGTTAGCAGTGGCGTGAGGACCACTCCTGGGCAAATCGCGTTCACTTTCACACCCTCGTTCCACAGTTGTTTACCCACTGAGCGCGTAAATCCAACCAGAGCATCTAACCATTATAAGCTTTGATCCATCAAAGAAGCAACATATACTTACGTTTTGTCGCTGAGTATACCGGGGTATGCATGCATGGATACAATCCGCCAATGCTTGACATAATAACCAAATTCCTTTTTCCCACCGTCTTCTCCGGCGATCGGCGAAAATAGTGCATGGCGAGGTAACTCGTATAAATCGCACCGATCAAGTTAATATCCGTTAATCCAGCTATATCAGGCCGTGGTGGAATTCCAGTATCATGCCGGGAAAAGAATACCGTGTCTTCTGCGACGCCGGCATTCGCAAAGACGAAATCCAATCTCTTTTCCTTATTGAAGATCTTATGAAACGTAGCGCCCTGCTGCTCGTAGCTTGTCACATCAGTCTGGTGAAATGTGGTATTTTTAAGCGAGGCAGCGGCCTCCTTGCCACGTTCCAAGTTGCTACCGATAATGTGAATTTTCCAGAGGCCTGTCACGTCGAGTTGTTGAGCGACGTCGAGGCCGATGCCACTAGCTATGAACAGTTATTCTCGGTCGGCCATTATCGTGGGCATATCGGGACACTGCTTACTTCCCCCTGTGATAAGAGCTACCAAGACCATAGTGTATTACTCAGATGGAGTTTCTCACGAATTCAGTAGTGAATGAAAGAGATAACAACACAATTAAGTATTTCCCAGCGAGATTATGGTAGAAGAGAATTTCTCTGTGCGGTTTGCCGAGTTATGCTAAACAAAGATGGAATAGAATGTGGGTAAAGGCGAAGAACAATCTTACCCGTCTTCTTCACGTCATTGTTGCAGATCAACTCAAGAGAACGTAGTGATCCAACTTCGGTTACTTGGAGTCTTGCTACTCACGCGCGACTCCCTGCTTATTCTTTTCTCCCTTTTACCTTTATAGCTTACGGATAGTCAGGTCGTTTGACCTGTGTATACTGGGTCATCGGGATGTGTCAATCAGTCGCCACTGCTTCCTTGAATAATGCGATCCACAGTCACATTGCGCGTCCCCTCCTTCATAATTGCCCAATAAGGTTTACCAGAGGCATTCTACCCAATAAATATCTTAGGAGGTTGGAATGTAATACTAGTAGAATACTAGTAGCCGAGGTCACATGACTACATAACTTGGCCCTCTGAACCCCTCCAAGCTAGTGTTTCTGTCAATGGCGATGGTCACGTGACCTGAGGCCACCTCATCATTCTCCCTCGGGCTCCACGTTTCTGCCCTCTGGCACGTATCACGAGCCATCTCATCGCCCATATAGCGGAGTGTCTCTACATATTCATATCAATGGCAGGGTTCGCCCAACAATTTGGACTCATCCATCTCGGCTCGCGGCTCACCCAGTTCTGCACCTTATTAGTAAGCTCTATAGAGCGAAAGTAACAATCACAACCTGATTTATCAAGTCTTAAGTTAGGTGGATTTAGGCTTATTGCGTCCGTGTAGGCCTAATAAGCTCTGCAATGATATAAAAATATACATAATAGTATCGATAATTCCAGTCTAATTTGGAAACCAAATGGTTAATCTCAATGAAAAACTAATTCTACTTCTATGTTATTGTAGTCGATTACTATGTTGACACGTAATATAAGAGAGAATGGGTTAAGCCATCCCAGCTGACAATTAGACTTTGTAATATCCCTTAGAGAAGAAAGATATAGGGTATGCTTTATCTGACCTTAACGCATGATTAAATCGCTGATTTGCTATATTCTTCGTTACAATACAGAGGTATCCTGAGACCTATTAGACATAGGATAAGATTTTCTTTCCTTGAATTTGAAAGTCCCTGCTTATATGACCATGCGAACTATATACAGCCCAGCAATATTATTAGTATTCAACTGCTTGTAGAACCAAAGAACTGGTAGAAGGTGTCGTTGCTGTTCTTTATTTTCTTAGCAAACATTGGTGCTTGTGCAGTCACGAGTGGTTGGTTTGGAAATTATATTGGCCACAATAATCTGGGGGCCTAGCTGACAGGAGCTATTGTCTTGTGCGGCTGGCTGTGGCTTGAAAAGGTCAGCAACCGTAGACAGACGTCTGGACACTCTCACTCAGGGGTTAATTTGTAATGGTGGTGAGGGCAGAATAGCATTCCTAACATGCCAGATGCTCTTCACAATAACCGATGCAAAGGTGGGGGAGCTATCTTTTTCATTGGCACAGCTTGTATTGGGCCCTCTGCATCGGAAGGCAATGTCGTGTTCTCCCTGAGGCATCGATAAGGAGCCAATATGTGGTGACCGAAGACGACTCTGATGATGTTCATGATGCTCTCTAAATTGAATGATCAGGGTCTGATTCCTGTCAGTTCCTGTCTTTGGCTATAGAGCGTGTCCATATGGTGTAACACATGTGGGTGAACTGGATGCTAGTTCGATGTTACTCTCGATTTTCACAAATGTAACAAGATGGATATGTATAAAGTTTATTACTACCTAGTCATCTGGTCTCCCTCATGATCTGCAGAGCCGCATTCAGAGCTTGAGGAAACCAATCTATTGTGATGAAACAATAATAAATGTAAGTGTAATGGATGATTTCATGTGCTTCTTATGTTAGAACACCCAATGCTACCTCCATATTAAATGAGACTACCGTTCACGGCATTCATGAATCATGACTGCCACACCTTGCCCATGAAAGAGATTAAAGATGCCATATCAAGGAATACTTAAGCATCCCCCACAACTCACGCCTTCTTGCCTGACTCCCAGAGTAGTCCTGCCTCCCAGATCTTTCCAATCAATCGCCCGGAAACATGCCCGATCATACCATCCACGTCGTCAAGAACTTCGGTCGCAAACAGAAATATGCCATTATTCCGTGCCCGCCCATGATGACATTCCCAGACAACAAGAAGCACGAGGGGGGTGTCTTGTCTGGCACGCAAAGGAACTCGAGGCCGGACAAACGTGGGACACATCAACCACGTATCAACTGTACGGATGTGCGTGTGACACTCTACCCATTCTAACTCTTCCCATCTGAGACAAGAAATTAAGCCTAGCCAAGGGGTTGGAACTACCGCTCAGAAGCCCAATTTTGGGGTGAAGGTCGCGTCAGTGGATGTGAAAGACGCTGATCCCGGTACTCCCACGACGCCTGCGAGTATGTATACCCAATCATCATTGCTTTATAAGAGTTGTCAAAATCTGAAAGGTGTAAATGGTATCACTACTGACTAAATGAGGGGAATGCAGGCACTTTCGGCTTGACCAAAAACGAAAAGGGCAACCCGGTAATGACTGAAAAAGAAAAAACAGCACCGATGGACATGGTCCGGTTTGATTTCAGTAGTGACCTTTCTCCATCAAATAATAAACACATTGTGTTTGGAATGGCCAAGGGGAACAGATTGCCTGATAATAGTGTGGGTAAGAGGCCTTTTGCCTATGTAGGTGTCTCCGTCCCCTTGTTGTCCCATGGTAAGATATGACTGACTTAGAGATAGTATCCGGCCCCCAGCGATACGAATGCAGTCAAATTCGCCATAATGGCGCCCGTAATTCAATTGTGGGTGTGCGCGTATGACGCCGAGGAAGGCGAAATAGTAGATTCCACCAAGGCAATCCAGCATGCGGGCCTGCTTCGGTTCCTGAATACAGATGGGGCTCTGCTCGCAAATGTAGAACATAAGCAAGACGGCACTTTTGAGATCACTTATTCATAGCTGGATAGAATGAAGTGGGCATGCCCGAAAGACAACATAATTTATTAACGCCTCGAGAGGACCTAAATCTATCATTGCGACACCTCTGGAGTCACAAGTTCGCAAAGGCATTTTAAAGATCTCGAAAAGAAAGGAGACTAATTTTGAGACGGAAAACTCCCAATTCGTGTTGATTCTAGAGATCTATGTGATGATGCTATGTCCAAAATGGTTCTATTCAATCGAGGGAAAGCGAAACATTCATTCAACCCGAGCATTCGGATGCAGCAGATACGTCATTTTCTCGTACACCGAAAAGACAATTCCGCCACTCAAGAGCAGCCTGCCCAGTCGCATTGAACTACCCTTCCAGAACCCCCGAACTCCATAGTCACTCTGTATGTTACGGATGGCCTCGACCAGCCCTGCCCCCTGGACTCCTTGCGCCCGCGTTTTGATCGTGTCAAAAGGCTGTGTCGCGTACACCGTGACAACTCCCGCCAGGGCACCCATGCAAAAGGTAGTGAAAAGAGTCGGCGGAATGTCGTGTGCCTTGAAGTACTCCTTGAGGATATTGTACGTGCCCATTCTTACAGCCGATGTGGCTGACTGTTTCAGCGTGGTGGACACAAGACCCCGGTACAGCTCGCGCAAACCGTGGGTTCTTACTAAAACCTGCGTGGCGTGCAGACTCGATCGGAATTGCCTGGCGTTTTTAGCATCGTCGATCCTTTATCAATCAGTTAGAAAGGCCTTCGGAGGTTGTATGGAAAACAAGGCACAAACAATGCTGTTTTGATTCTTTCTGTAGGCGTCACGGCCAGGACGCTTTCAGTAGCCCCTGCGACGACGCCGGCCACAATGCCTCGTGCTGGGGAGAGCGATCCACGCCCATCAGAGAGGGAGTTTTTAATGGTGTCGTATGAAACAAATCGCACGGCCGCCTTGGCCGTCGTTCCCTGCGAGCGATTAGACCCTAACCCTTAGCCATATGATTGATTCAGTACGCACAATGATCAGCGTGGAACATCCGGTATACAAAGCACCGACGCCTTCTTGTTGTGCAACGGTAAAGATGAGTCGCAGCGGGTTGGAGGGGGTCGATTTGCTGGTTCTCAAAAGTTGTACGCGGGTCTTTGCATATTCAAACGGGTACTAGTCATCATTTTCTCAGTCCTGGAATCTGACATGCTGCAAGGCCAGAGAGATTAATAGTACTTACCGTGGACGCAGCTTCCACGCCCCCAGCCACTCCGCCGGCTATCAGAGAGACCCACTGCGGAGTGTATTGCTGCGAACCAGTTAACCGTCTAACGCCCTTCCCAGTCGTTGAAGGGAGGAGAGCCGACCTTTTGCGGTTTTGTTGAGGAGGCAAGGGTAGCCATGATAATGATACTCAGTTGCGATAGTGCAACAGTGTAGGCCGTTGAGTGGTCCAATCGCCTTCAACAAATACTTAGTTATATTAAGGTGCTCACTTAACACCAAAATACCCAATTTCTACTAACAGAGAGCGGGATTTGCCGACGGAGGATGAATTGCCGCGGGTCCCGTCCTTCCGCGCGAAACCGGGTATATCTTCCATCTTCCATCTTTTTTCCCCCTCACCACGTCCCCTCCTCTCCCCGGAGTTCCTATGAAGCCATGGAAGGTATGTTCCCGTCCCGTTCTCGCAGAGCGGCCAAGGCATGCAGCTTCTGTCGCCGGAGGAAGGTGAGTGAGGTCCACTGATCCACCCACGCGCCCCCGACCGTGCCATTCCGCTCACGGCCGCTATAGTTGCGCTGCGACGAAAAGCCAACGTGCTCCAATTGTCAGGGTTACGGCAAGGAATGCGTGTACATGACCAATCCCTCAAGGCCCAGGTGCGTGAAATTTCGCCCGTTGGAGAAGAGGCTGATTACCTGACCCGCCTAGGCCATCCAAAGCCTGGATCGCTCACTTGGTGACAGAAAATGAGCAACTTCGGCAGCGACTCGGCGAGGAAAGTGCCGGGCCGGTGCATGGAGAGCAGGCAACCCCTGATGGAGATCTCCACCAACAGTCGGAATCCACCAAGATGGACCCTCCGCAGTCGGTCGTATCCGGCATCTTTGTCTCCGCCAACGGAGACTCCAGCTACCATGGCCTCACCAGTACTCTTTTTGACGGCGCCCCCGTCGGGCGCCATGGCTCAGGCCAACTGGCCAATCGCGCCGGTCCGGTGGAGCCCATTCAGCAACAACTGATGGGAGAGGCCGCTTATCAAAGTGAGTCGCTGTGCCTTCCCCCCGTTACAGAAACCGATTGTAGACTCTAACATTGCGATGACAAAGGGCAGCTGGAAACATTGAACTTCCAGCAAGGGAAGTTGGACTTTGATGGCGTAGATCCTGAGCTGGGGATGCACCTGTTGTCCCTGCATTGGAACCGCCAGCACCACTCCTTCCTAATAACGCATCGCCCGAGCTTCATGCGTGATATGGCCACCAACGGGCCTTATTTCTCCAAGCTACTCCTGAATGCGATATACTTTGGGGCGTCCAAGTTCAGTAATCGTCCCGAGGTACGTAGAGACCCGGATGATGCCCGCACGGCTGGGTGGACCTTTCGCATGAGGGTGAGGGAGCTGCTAGGGAGTGCCTTGGATCGGAGTGAGATCACCACCATCCAGGCACTCCTAGTCATGACAAGCTCTCTCTTCGCGCTGGGAGATGAACGTAGCGCCGCCTGGCTATATGCTGGGACGGCTTTTCGGATGATCATCGATCTCGGCATGCACGTGGACGCCACGATGCTCCCCAACATGCGCCGACTCTCGGCAGAAGACCTGGAAATCCGACGGCGTGTATTCTGGGGTGCCTTTGTTGTTGACAAGATCCAATCACTATACCAGGGGCGACCGGCTAGTCTCCAAAGCTTTGATACCAAAGTCCTGCTGTCCTTCATGGACCGCTATGAGGAGCTGGAGCCCTGGCAACCCTTTGCGTATTCCGATGTGCAGTCATACCCTGGATCCCCAGCATATAGCGTGTCGACATTCACATGGCTGTGTAAACTGTCGCTGGTCTTGAATGAGATCCTGAACAAAGTTTATTCGGAGAGAAGTTCCAATCGGTCGCCTCACGACCTCATCGCTACTCTAAACAGACTCGATGGGCAGTTGAAAACCTGGTACGAAAGTCTTCCAGATCATCTGCGCTACAACAGTCCCGTGGGGGTGGTGCCGCCTCCACATGTTCTCTCATTACTCGCTCTGTACAATGTCTTGGTTATCCTGCTTCACCGACCGTTTGTTTCCGAGGGACATCTTTACACTGCCGATCCATCGGTGGCCAAGAGCTCCTTTACCACCTGCACCACGGCCGCCTCCAGCATCATCCAATTACTACAGGCCTACGATAACACCTTTTCTATCCGGCGAGCACCGTATCTGATTTCATACGCCACATACGTAGCAGCGACAATCTTCGTTCGAGTCGCAGCCCAACGAGAGCGTGTCAGTCGGGCTCACACCAGCCTCCAGAGCTGCCTCGACATATTCAAGAAGAATCAAGAGACAAATTGGGCGGTGCGACGAGCCCACAATGTGATCTTACACCTCATGGATCGCATGGGTGTTCGTTTAGATGATTGCGCGACTGTGGTCGACGACAGTCCGAGCCGTATAGAAGCCCGGTCAGACCCTTTAACTATCTCAGCCGAAGGACCGTTGGGACCGGCGCCTGGGATCAATCACGAATCTCTGCCGGAAATTGAACCGTCCGAGCTGGACATCGAAATGGTTATTCAAAGCTTCATTGGAACACAGCCTAGACCCGCAGACGGACAGATGCGCGAACCCATAGATCTCTCTTTTGGACCTACGGTACCTCATTCGACCAATCCGGCTCCTATGGCTCCCGTAGTAGGCCAGTATGAGGAGACGTACTCTTATCCTAGGTTCGATGATATGCTGTTTGGCTTCAACGGTTCTCCGCAGGATAATGCATTCACGGACAATTAAGATGTATCTACTCAATGCCAAACAACAAGTGTGACGAATCGATCGGAACGCCCCGCATCCTGTATTGGCAGCTGCCTGCATGCATTCTATATTGGGCCAGTTATAGTTTGCTCTATGTCCAGTGAACCCAGGAAACCACTCCATCTAAGGTCTATAAAACACACGGCCCTCGAAAAGCCGTCGAGCCGTCCGATAAACCGCCACCCGGTCCACGTCGATCGCGCCATTCCTGTCCATACCCAGGACCGTCTCCGTATGGATGACCCCGGCTGGATGGCGGATGCCGACCGGCACAGCACCTGCAATCTGGTGGTCTCCCAGCGACATTCCATGCTTTGGCAACTCTTTTCCTTCCTTCGCATGGGCCAAGTCCCAAGCGATGGTGCCATGTATGATCGTCGCCGCACCGAGACACACCGCCCCCGTCAACTGCAGACTCGCATGGGGTTTCCCCATACTGAACGCCTTCACCTCAATGTCCACGCCATCCACGTCACCCGTTGCGGGAGACAAAATGGCAATCTTCGGGGTACCACGAACCTGACCCGCAGCCTGCACATTCTCAGCCAGGCCAAACCGCACGGCGCCATGCCTCCGAATATCCTCGATTAGCGCCAGGAAGACTGGATCCGCAGCATCCGCGATACTGGACGAGGCTTCTACTGGCAAGGACGCTGCATCAACAAACACAAACGGATTGGCAGCGTCAACAAGGCTAACTCGCACGGCAAGTGTTCCAAATCCCCGGGATTGCACCGTTAGCATCTCTTGATGCATTCCGCTCGGAAACATCTGGCCCGTCATACTACCGCACGGCTTGAGGAATGCAACTCTGATAGGGCTAGCTGTACCTTCAACGCCTGGAATCGCATAGTCGCCATCCTCTCGAAATGAGCCGTCAGTGGCGACCTGGACTGTTTCAACGATATGTTGTCCGGTATTGGTGTTGAAAATCTTGATATTGACCTGGGGCTTCTCAATCAGTCTAGTTTCCCATACATCTTCCCACTGAAAATAGGAAAGAAAACCAACCTCTTTTTCCCGCTCAGGGATGTTAACAAGGCCCTCATCCAGTGCAAAAGGCCCCACCCCCGAGGCAATGTTGCCACAATTCCCGGTCACATCGATTCGTGGCTGATCCGGTGCCACCTGCACAAACGTATACTCGACATCGACACCGGGTCGATTCGACCGTTCTACGATGGCGACCTTGGACGTTGTCGAAGATGCACCGCCCACCCCGTCAATTTGCCGAGAACTTCCCTTACTAGAGCCCATGGCGGATAGCAAAATCGGTTCCCAGAGTGTTTTCGACGCGGGGAGATGGCGGCGATGGAGGAATAGGCCCTTGGATGTGCCAGCGCGCATCCATACCGCCGGAAGGGACTTCCGAACCGATTCGTTGGACCTGTATTTTGTTGTTGTCGGTAGGACGGGGATAGGTTCAGCCCTGGTGACTGAGTATGTTTGTGTCATGATTGGCTAGAGGTTGAGCTGTAGGGTCTTTCGCATGAACACTCAATACTCTGTACCCAGCAGTCAGGTTGAATGTAGTGTTTTGCTTTCTTAAATGCCGGATTTTGCTATTGAGCTATACCGCCAGCTTCCATGGACTAAGATTTATGATAGTAGTAGTAGTTATGTAATCATGACTGGCTCCAGGGATACGGAGATCTGGTGAGAAAATAACCGCTCACCAACGTTATTCTCTTGAGTACTCTTCCGCGGCATCTGGTGTCCCGTCCGTCAGTCAACACAACGATCCACCCACTCCACCCACCACCTACACTGCCTAGTGGAATAGCTATAGCGTTTATTAACTTCCGCGGAACGGTTCACGCCGCTGCGACCGCAGGTGGACAAGGGGGCAACAGAAGTCAGTAAGGCCGGGCATCTTGGCACGATATTGGTCAGATGGTTAGGAATTCCGAGATCTCGTGCCCTACGCGGCTGGCTGATCGTTGGTACGGTATGTTAACGTCGGCGATACGAAGGCTATTGCCCCAATGGACACGCAATTTCAGATTTGATGATGACGATACTAGACAGCCATACTATGCCGCGTTCTAGGAGTCCATGTAATCCAGTTCTACAGGATAGCTTTTCCTTCCTTTGTATACCTGTACGCCTTCGCTTTCTATTTCAAGCCAGAGCTAGTTACCTTAACAGTATAAAGACATCATATTATATGACTTGTCAAGTCGCACTTGACGAATTTGTAGATTGAGTACTTCGCGCTTTCTCCGGCGTTCCGGCTTCCTGCGCGAAATATAACAAGAGTGTATTTGTATGGCCAATCCAGAGGGATCTTCTTTCACAAAATGGTCATGCATTTTTCGGCACCGAGAAACAGGAAATTTGCAATGAAATTAAAGGGAATGAAAAAAAAAAACAAACAATAGCGATGAGAAAAAGTTCAAGCGTGCTCCTTCTGCTCCACGATTACCTTGTCCTCCTCCATCTGCCCGTTCAACTCCGTCACATCTCCCTGTGGAAGTCTTCTCGCCATCGCCACGATATGCCATGCGGACGGGGCATCGTGGAACACCTCGTTCAAGGCTTCTAAATTGCGGCCCATTGTCTCTGGGTAGAAGAGATACACTGTGACAGGAATGCAGGCAGAAATAACAGCATATACAATGTAGTATCTCCACCCAATTGTATCAAGCGCGACAGGGGTTATCATAACGACGATAAAGTTCCACAGCCACTTGTTTGCGGTTGACGCAGATGACATCGCCACACGCAAACGCATAGGAGCAATTTCAGTACAATAGAGAAAGTTTGCACCAGAGAACCCAATGGGATAGAACATGTTGAAGAGCCAAATAAACACCACAGAGACAATTGAGAGTCCCCGACTGGCATCAGCAAACTTGGTCGTGATAGTTAAGACTATCATGCAAAGACACATTCCGGCCCCACTGAACATGAACACCTTCCGTCTGCCAAAGCGGTCGATTGCAAAAAATGGAATAAAGTTGCATACAAATTTCCATGTAAGTGCGCTGGCACCTAAGATCCGGGACAACTCCTCACTGAGGTTCAGATTCTCCTCAAATATCGTTGAAATGTAGGTGGAGATCAAATTGCCCCCGCACATTTGCTGGAAAAATTGGATAACAAGACAGAGAGCGAATCGGTACAGGAGACGTTCCTTATCATCGCCCATAAATAATTCTCGTAATGTGATGTTCTTTGACTGTGCTGTGAGCTCCAGCGATGACTCTATGCTCGCAATTTCTCTTTGAACCGCATCGTCATTGACCGGGAGACCTCTGTATGCTGCCAGACTGTGCGCTGCTTTGTCCTTTTTAGACACCAGAACCAGCCATCGTGGTGATTCAGGGAGCATAAATACGGATGCGAGAATGATCAGGGGAAAGGCAAGAGCCAAGGCCAAGGGGACACGCCACTGCGTTTCACCGGCCGTTTTCCCGAACCCGTAGGCAACCCAGTTTGTGATGACGAAGCCAAGGACCATACAAATCCCATCGACTACCACATGCTGCCCACGATGCTTTGCAGAACTGCATTCGGCCTGCCATACCGGTACGGTAGCGCTCAGTTGCCCGACCCCGATGCCAAGAATGACTCGACCCAGGGTGAACTGAATGATGCCGTAAGAACATGTCTGAAGCACCTCTCCAATGAGTGTAATGATAGTCGCCATGAAAACTGTCCTGCGCCGGCCGAAACGGTCACCAAAGTGGGCGCATGAGAGCGCTCCCAGAAGGGCCCCCAGTTGATATGAGGCAATGACTGCGCCTTTTCTTGTCGAGTTTCTCTTCTTGATGGCACCATCGGTGTTGAGTGTGTCAATTTCCGGGAAAATAGTAACCCTAAAAGCCTCATCAGTCCAAGAAGTATTTCAGTCATTTATTTTAACGAAGTGGATTACCATGACTGTAGGTTTGCAAGCGGTGCTACTCCAGCCTGATTGTATCCGTAGGTAATGAATGCAGGAGCTACCGTGAGAAGCACCTGTGCGAGGTGCAGCGACCTTCCACGAAGCATGATACTATGTGTCGGCGGCAGCTGCTGGCAAAGTGTGATGTTGATCAGATTGAGCCAAGGATGTCAATGCATTTTATATAATGTCAAAAGTTATTCCAGAAATCCGGGGACCCCGCATTATGCCTTGCCATACCACTCGTGGCTGGAAGATATGAACCTCGCTTATGAAATCCCATCGTGGGTGTTTGTCAAACTGCCAATCTTCCTTACCCCAGAATTCATTTGCGGGAAGTTAAAAAACCCCACTTAGAGGAGTAGGTCCTGTGTCCTTCCGCGGAATGTAAAATCCCGTGGCCCAATATGGATGAACATCCTTCCCGACTCTAACGCTAAAGGACTACCACTGGATGTTGGTGGATACCTTGTTTTAGGTGTTTAGTACTTTTGTGTTAAAGTTGCTGTCTGGCTGGAATATCTATACTACAGGAGTAATGACATTCTAGTAGAATACTATTAGAATGCCGGATTTCAACGTAAACCACGATCGCGCGGCCCATACGGTCAAGCGGTACATCGGATTATGCCATATAAAATCAATTCTTTTCCTTTTCAGATATCTCATCCATTTAAGCTCTTTAAGGCTTTATTTCCAACTTATATACTATTCTAATAGTGAACTTATAATTCCCTTAGATAAAATATTACAGACTTACAAAATATATATATATATCTATTGAGATATAGTAACTCTTAAATATACATGTTTCGTATAGTATTTCATTACGGACAGCGCGACCGTTGTTTACATTAGTTTTTTCTTCTCATCGCATCTAGCTCCATCGACCTGTAAAAGCTTTTGGCCTCTTTATTATCCGCAGTCGTCCGAATTCTGTTAATGTAGAATTTCTGGAGTCCAAATATACTCTAAGATACACTACATTGACCTCGTCGGTGTGATTTGGGTTTGGGGGATTTTCGCATCCACCGAGCCATGGTCAGAGCTTCCTGGCCCCGAGTCTGCATCTGAATCCGCCATCGGCTCTACCGTCTCGTGGCTTTGGGTTTCCCTTTTCCTATCCAACCAAAGCAGGAATTGAACTGTCGCAGTAACAACCACTGGAGGGTTGAGTTAGTCGCTATCTTCCGCTGTTTTAAAACAATACCGGGATGCACAACACTCACTGAGTAAGACCTGCAATATGATGGACCAAAGATAGCCTTTCTTGGCAGCAGGGAAATCTGTGGTTTTCCACACGAAGTTCGGTGCCTGTTCAGAGTAAATCATGAGAACTGTTGGTTTATATGATCATCGGGTGGAAGGAGGCTCACCACTGCCTGAACAACGTAGGCAAGATCATTAGCCATGGCGACAACCAAAGCTCTTTTCTCGGTGTCAGTTGAGCAAATTTCGTTAATCCAGCTCAAAATGAGCGGACCAGCACCAACCTAAGAGTAAGTATTAGTTGAAAATACACTTCTTGGCGGGTTGTAACTTTAACCTACACCGATATTACTGAGCCAATATACGGCCATGCGTCCAGGAATGTTGGTATAGAGAGGCATTTGGCGTAGTAGCACACACATAATGAGCTTGAAAATGTTACAGCCGAGTCTATCTGGGTATACGGGTTGGAAGTACCTACCGTGATGACGGCACCGATATGGATAAAGGGCCAGCGCGATCCACGACAGGGACCATCAGAGAGCAAACCCCAAACGAAGCACACGAAGATAGAGATACCGGTCGTTACCAATGGTACTGAACTCATTAGAGTCACATGGCATATCGTTTTGAATAGACTCACAGTTGTTAATGTCAGCCACCGTGTATGACTTGCCCGGGACAGGAGGAGGGTCTGCGTTGGAACTTTTCAGCCAGTAACCCATACCGACCTGTGGGTATCCATTGTTCCACAAAATGTATATCATGGCTGGATCGGCTGATTAGATAATTGACCAAAGTCGACGATGATAGTGGACCACGTACGGAGTAGATATGTATGCCAGCTTGTCAAGATTCTTTTCAACTTAGCCATACTCCAAGGCTCCTTTCCAGCACGTCCAATAGCCTGCATTCGGTTGACAGAGAGAATGTGTTCCTCGTTAGTTATCCACCAAGTCTTCTTACCATTCTGTGGAAGGTTGGGGAAGAAGAGATAGCCGGCTAGGGCGAGGGGTAGCGTGATGATGCCATCGATAATGAACAGCCATCGCCAACCGGCGCGGCCATCAACACCGTTCAAGTTCGTATAAGCAGCTGCTTGAAGAAAACCACTGAATAAATTTCCAATGTGGCCAGCAAGCCAGAATATCATTGCGCGCTTGCCAATCTCTTGTGGTGTGTACCATGATCCTAGAAGATAATGAATGCCGGGGTAAAACCCAGATCTATTTCCAAGATTAGACTGCGGCGAATAGAATGATAAGATGAGGAATTTCCCACGTACTCAAAAAGGCCTACCAGAAAACGAAGAGCATAGAGAGCTTTGTATGACCGTACACTTGACATGCACATAGTTGCAATTCCCCAACCAACCTCGAGCTGCGCAAGTATTAGTCTCCACTGAATGCTGAGATCAAGATATGCATAGGAAATGAACTGCCTACCGACGGAATCACCCATCGAGGCGAGATGCGAGTCAACAATAAGTTCGCAGGGATCTGGCCAACAACATAGCCAACTGTGAAAATAGAGGTGCTTGTCACCAGCTGGTTGCCAAACATCCCCAGATCCTCCTCCATGCCACTAAGGTAGGCATTTGTAACATTTTGTAGGTCCAGGTTTTTGAGAAAATAACCAATCTGTGGCTGTCAGCAAACTGTATTGACTCCCTTTGGGAAAGTGAGCTATTGGCACACAGATGCAAATGTTAGCACGAACGCGTCGAGCTTAAACAATAACCAACGCTGATCGCTGGGTAGTTCCCATGTGTCCCAAATGTAGCCTTTCCATGACTTGAGAGGCTTGACTATATCCTGCTCTTGCCAGGAATTGGCCTCAGTATCCCTTGTCATCGTGAATGCACGTTCCTGTATTTTGTGAACGCGGGGCAAATTGGGATCTAAATATTCGAATTAAATTCGCAGCACGCCAAGTATGATCCCATTTGCCGCTGTAATCACCTCACCCCTTAGCAGGTACCTTCTGCGCTAACTCTTATCTCCCTCCAGTGATCTACTTAGTATGACCCACAGGGTATAAACACCTGCCGAGATGTTGGCTGAGTAATCAGTCATCAGTAACTAACTAGTCAAAAGTGGAGGTGATGGTAGTGTTATGGCGCAATAGTCTCCAACAATTATATCTTCCGCACTCCTGCGACCAAGGCCCAACAGCATCTTGAACTCATATCAAGTTGCATGATATGAACGTGCCGCGCAAAAATACCTCACTCCCATTGCAAATTGCTCTCTTCTTCCCCAGTCTCTCTGGCGATACTTGTAGTTAGCGATTATACAATATACAGCGATTAAGAACCCCTCCTGGCTATCATGTTCCTTGACTTTACACTGTCATAGCTTCCTCCTTTTCAAATGAGAGAAGCGATAATTGGATAAAATTTACTCGTTCACAAACTTTCCCAGCAGCAATAAATCCCCGAGGCACACTGATACATAGCCCTGATCCCTGTGCTCCCGTACAGCCCCCCCCCACCCCACCTCCCAAGCCTCAACACTGTAGGCAGACTGCCTGTAAAGAGCTTTTCCATGGCCTATACAACCAGATCAGCAGCGCAGGTGCATATGAGAAACGAGGAGAAACTTACTTCCTTGGTGAACTGCCCCACAGGTATTCCAAAACGCCCCTTGACTGTTTCCGCCATATCGGGTTGATGCTTTGGATCATGTAATTCAGCTGTGATTCAAAATTTAGTCTCCATCTTATGTCTTCGTGACAGGAAAAGGGGCTATTACTCTCAACAATAGGCGGAAAGACTTCGATGACCCTGATATTTGTTTCCTTTAGCTGTTCCCGTAGGCAGAGAATCCAGTGGTGCAGGGCCGCCTTAGAGGCGCAGTAGTTGGAGCATCGCAGGATAGGGACGAGGGCTAGATTAGATGACGTGCTTTTGGAAGACACGCAGTTAGCGAGACGAATCTCTAGTATATCCTGTATGTGGGGAAATTACATACTATATAAACGATGTTGGAGTATCCTTCTCGCTCTGGAAAAACGGTAGAAACTCTTTTGTCAAGGCAACGTAGGAGATGTAATTCACCTGTAGATTGAATGTTAGCAACCCAACTACACCGCGGCCTTCTTTAAAGGTTTTGGGAATCGTGGCGTACATTCATCTCTTCCGCAATCACTGCCATGTTAATCGCCTCTGGCTCGCTAAAGACAGATCGTCGCTGGATGCCAGAGTTGACGAAAACACAGTCCAGGTCAGGATGGCGTTGGGTCACTCTGTCCGAATCCAAAACAGTCAACATAAAAGACTAAGGCATGGGTTAATCGCGAGAAGCTTGACGCACTGCTTCACAAAAAAAATGGAATCTTATCCAGCTGGCTGGTGTCCAGCTGGAATGCTGCAGCCCTATCTGCACCATGTTCCTGGACAAATGCATCCAGATTTCCTTGTCTCCGACCAACTGCAATCACGAAACGGCCATGCTGGATGAAGCTGGTAGCTAAATCGCGGCCAATGCCTGTGGCTGTATCAGCGCCGGTTACTTCCCTTTTTGGTGACTGACAAAGAGATGTACCTGAGGTAGCTCCAATCAGGAGAACTTTCTTGTAAGGGAAAGACATTATACAGCAGCAGATGGTGAAGCAGGCATCAGAGGTACTACAACGAGAGTCAACATCCATTAACATCGTGAAGACTGTTTATATAGATAGAACATGATATACATTTCCTCATAGTTACATAATCTATCCGGAGTTAACTTCACAAAGCCGCTCTAATAGCGAAGAGGATTCCCCACTCACTCTTGATCATAATCTCCATCAAGGACACTACTCTCTTGGGATTCCTCTGTGGTCGGTGGTCGGTGGTCGGACTCTTCAGTCCCGACTAAATTCTCCGTTCTCGGCGGCGGGCGGGTCCTGTATCAATAAAGCTCGCACCCACCGGGTGGTTCCGTAGAAATAGGGGTGGACCCATCCCGATCTCCGAAATTTCACTCCGGCCGCGGACACTGGGAAAGAAGGTGTCTCAAAGAACAATCCCAAGACAGTCCAACTTATGCACTCCAGAGCTTTTTATACATCAAGAAGCCGGAACAGAAGAGGCCGGATCTCATGGGCCTGCTGAAAGCATCGAGCGGGGGCCCTGTCATGCTATCTTTCTAGTGGAACTGAGCTGGCTGCTTTACATGCCGAAAGTTTTAGAACTTCGGCCTTAGCGTGAGTGCCAGCCACAAGCTTAAGTTGGACCTCTTCACGAGGGTCGAGAGCTAATTTCAATTTCATGAAAATTTCATGATTCTTAGACAACATTTCATGTAATAATTTTGGGGATGTAAGCTATAAAATACACTAGTCCGTATAGATTAACTAACTTTATTAGGCTGTAACGTTATCCTAACTAATTAGAGATAAGATCCGGGATCTAAATCTATCAGTTTTGGATTCTCTATTATCACGTAATATTTTGAAATTATAACGACTTTAAGGATTTTTTTTTTTTTTTTTTTTCAGTAATGGCCGCATGAGATTGATATTCAACATCCCTACTGAGTTCCTACTTCGATAGACGATCGTGTAGTCCGATCAACGACGATGCGAGGCATGCCTAAGACTCCACTTTCGATTGGTATTTCGGGCTTTGCGGCTTTTGCCCTTCAGAGTTTAACCCGCGTATCATAGGATTTGGCCGAATTGTTCTACCATATCAGCCTATCGTAGGTGGACATGCATAGCTGAGAATTTGGTCGGCACTGAAAGCTCCGTACACCGAGAGTGTCCTTAACAGAAATGATTGTCGAGCAGGGGAATGCATTGCGGAGTTAGAGCGGCTTTGTGAGGCTAAATACGTCATCAAACCAGTATCTTTTGGGCTGAATCGAGTACAGAACTATGACGGTACCTGAGCTTAACCCTGGTTTCAAGGGCGTTTAGCTGGCCAGCCACCAGAAGAGGGAACCAGATCGTGGGTGTGCTACATTGAAACCTCTCAATAAAATGTTCTGCAGTTGACCGACTATTCCCGACAAAAGTAGGGAATCCTCACATGTAGCCCCGACACAACAGGCGCTGCCCGAAGGATGTAGACAAGCTTTCTCTCAAAATTCACATCTGAACATGGTGTGACAGCACGGTGTCAGGGGATTTAGTCACCCGATCTATGAGTTATACGCGACTAAGCCTGGGCTAGCCGAGCTCTATAAATACTTCCTCTATCCTGAGGCAGACCAAGATAATCCCTGCCTCCCTGCAGAGTTGACACACTACCATCCAGTCTTACTTCTCGCGTAGGGTTCCTGTCATATACTATCGCCATGACTTTATCCGGACAGGTTGTGGTCGTTGCTGGTGCATCCAAGGGCATTGGCAGAGCCATTGTCCTCCGCGCCGCCGCAGCGGGGGCTAGTGTGGTCATAAACTACATGTCCGACGTCAAGGGTGCTAACTCCCTGGTTGCGCAAGTCGGTAGCGATCGTGCCTTTGCCGTGCGGGCGGATATTTCCAAGATCGCAGAGATTGATGAACTCATAAAAGCGACGGTGGCTCGTTTCGGGAGGATCGATGTCCTTATCCCCAATGCGGCCTATGTGCCCAGTAGCGACCTGCGAAATGTCACGGAGGAGGAATTTGAACTAGCCTTTGCTGTCAATGTCAAAGGGCCTTGTTTCCTGGCGAAGGTTAGTACAGTCGACGATTTTGGATTCTGAGAGCGACGCTGATCCCACTTCTCGCAGAAAGCCTTGCCTTACATGCAACCAGGCAGTAATATAATCTTTATCTCGACCGATCTTACCGACGCGTCTTCTGTGCCCGCACATTTCCTTCTTTACACATCGACCAAGGCAGCTATGAACCAGATGGTCAAGGTCCTAGCGCGGGACCTTGCGCATATGGGAATCCGTGTCAATGCCATTTCCCCAGGCGCAACGAGCACGGAATCTTTCCACCGAGCCCAGGACGATACTGGGGCACAGATGATTGCGAGTCATAACCCGTTCAACCGGATTGGGGAGCCGGATGAAATTGCTGCGGCGGTTAGTTTGCTGTGGGGAAAAGATAGCGTTTGGATCTCAGGCCAAGTTTTGAGAGCGAACGGGGTAGCGTTGTCTGAAGTACCAGTTTGCTGGCATATATGGACGGTGATTGAATTAACTTAGTCTGTTAATCGAAATTGGATCATAAACGGAATCACTAGGCTAGCAGCTGGAGATAAAATGACCATCTGTCCTCTGTATACGAATTGTTGCAAGAACATTGGCACTATGTGAGCATTCTGAGATGTCTGCTCAGAGAAGAAGACCAACAGGAACCTTAGCGGTCTGAGTTCTTTGTAAATATTGAGCTGAAGATAAATTAGAAAAATAATAGATTGGGTATATTTGCTTCCCTTAGTTTGCGATACCTACCTCTTCCTGCATATAGTAGACTTTATACGTGAATTCGGAGATATTGTTTCCCTCACCCTTGCTATCTGGTTTCTGGAAATATTTTATAAAATGGATTCATATTTAGATTCTCCTTCCTCTCCCGGGAGCCCAGCGCCTCTTCTCCTTCTCTTTCCAGTTCGAGCAGACAGTCATAATGTTTTAATATGTAATATAATGACATACTAATCACATCCTGCATGCTCGGGCTTAACATGGATGTTCCAAACCCCGATATGACCTTCGGATGTACCTCAAGACCGGGGCTCCGAGCCAGAAAACAGCACACATGACCAATTGCTTGCGAGGCCGTGATGTCCTCTGCGGCATATTGGGCTGGCCGGACGAAGGTATTTAGAGCGATCGTTAACTGCCAGCGGACCATACTGTTTAGACAGCACATCTGAGCGATTTGCTTAAGAGACTGGAAGTCAACTCATACCAAAGATCGGTTCAAACTCAAATTCCCAGCGATGTCTTCCGACGTCAGCAACAGCTTACAAAAATGGGTCAGACTGCCACCAAATTCTGGTCTAACAGACCTTAAACCGGTGTCCATCTACGACGTGACCAAGTTCCCTGATACACAAACGCAGAAACTACGAAGTCTCCTTGAGCAAGGCCATGTCACAGTTGCACCACTGCGTGACCCGGAGCTGATCCTGCATAGTCACTTGCCACATATATGCTCTTTGCCCTGGATATCCATGATTGAGATTTAGCGAATGACTTTTGGCCCTCTAGCTTCTTGGCTCTGCCTATGCGCTGGGTGCCAGTAGCGATGAATTGACCAGAACATACGATCATGAGGTTACCCAGCTGGTCCCTATCGCCTGGGGATTCATCCGAGGCACGGCCATCTCCAAGGAAAATTGGAGACAATTTTTGACTTGTAAAGAGTGCGTTATTCTCTGCGAGGATGAGCGACTCCTGCTCACTATCAAAATAGGTACACCGTGGCATATCGGGACTTCTTTGACAACCAAGTGAAGGAGAATCGGGGATATTGGGGAAAGGTGCTTGAAGAGTATCTCTACTCTGGAGAGGCGCAGCTTGTGAACGGCTATACGGGAGGACGTAAGCCAATCACTTTTGTGCTTTTGTAGGTATAACCAACAGACTAACCAAGGGGAATGAACAACAGTGGGCTATCTGTTTATCCATCTCGCCTACGCCTACGAGTTCCGTAGCAAGGAGGTAGTGATATAAGCCCTCAGCCAGGGGTGCACTGAGTACAACGCTCTGCATATATTTCTTGACCAGGTACCTCCTGACTCATCCAAGTATAAAACTGGCTCCCTGGCTGTTGTCTTTAAAAGTGGGTTTTAGACGCCCATTTCTTCAAAGTGGTCCGCGCCCCGAAAGTCTTTGAGGAGACTTTTGGTCGCAAGAATGACTTCTACCTAAAGGCAGCCATCAAATTTGTAACTGAATTCCACGGCTGGGAGGGTTACGGCCAGGGAGTCGCGGGATTTATTCCAAGCTGAGATGGATACAGACCTGAGTGAGAATTGCTGGGGCGTTTCACTGATAAAAGTGACATGCATGCTGGCGGGATTCAATAGAATATTTAACTTTAGTTGCGTATAGTATAGTTTGAGTTACATGACCAGTATGTGTAGGCTTAGATTAGTGCGTAAGGGGAGGGTTACTTGCTCTAATAATTATCTCTAAAGAAATCCGAATTTGCTCAGGAGTTACTCAGAACATATACTTCGATGTTTGTTTTGTGCAGAAAGGGCAAGTAACTTGATTGCTGGAGGAAGCCTGTGTAGTACTGGTCTGTAATTAGGTATGGTTAAGACTTCCCGGCTGTAAAGGCCACAGTATCTTGGCCAAATCCCACACACCCTCATATTATTTCCATCCTCACCAGACTTACTCCGCCTTTCTTGATTCCCGGGCATTACATAGGCGATTCTATTAGGATTTCAGCATTTTATATAGACCTGATTTCTTGACATAGGGTATAATTTTATTAACTCTTAGAATATAACTTATCATATTTTTATATAATATTAGAATAAGAATAATAAAACACTTATAGATAATAATATTATTATTACTAGCTATATCCTATTCGCGGGTAGCCCGTGGATCACGTGGTATTCCACGCTAACCAAGTCTCGCGACGGGACTGATACCAGCATGAGCGTTCCTCGCGATATAAGATACTACTAATTTTATTAAATTTTCTACTTACAATAAGTAAAAGATTAAAGGAAATTTGGCTTATTATTTATACTACAGCTGGTTATAATGAAAGATCAAATAGATTATATTAAATAAAGCTGAAATATCTAGCTACATTATATAATATATTCTTATTGACTTTATTTATTTTATTTTGTTTATATATCTTTATTATTATATATTTTTTATACTTCTTTCTTTCCCTTCTCATGTTTGATATTCTAGTTTAGATCCGCTGAATTAGATATATTTGATTGGCTCTCTCAGCAAGGATGCGGCATTTTAGGCGGCCAATATATGGCGACTGCAACGCGGCTAATGAAGCTGGCGGCGATTCAGAGGCCACTGCAATGGTATTTAGCCAGTCAGGTATATGAGATCGTTACCCGCAAGCCGCATGTTATGTGCGTATTCTAGAAACACCAACAAACAAACATAGCTTCCTTACCGTACCCTTGGAGATGGGAGGAGGCAGCAAATAAATAAAACATGTTTGCCAGCCATTGCAGATAAAAGAGACAGATATAGCTCCCTAAAAACCTGGACGACGAACATACCTTAACCGACTTTTTCCCGTGGCCACTGAATCCAAGGCCTATGCTTTTCATCAAGGTGGCGGTAGATTCCAGCCATGATATGTTCCGGCCATCCCTTCATAAACCAATAGCAAGATATATCTTGTAGTAAGACGACAAAAAATGCGAGCAGTACCAGTGATAGTGGCCGCTGCTCATGTAGATCGGCAACGAAAAGCCCTGGAAGCCGAAAAAGCCAGCCAAAGATGTACGGGACGCGTGCTCCCTTTAGCGTATAGTGCTTCTGGTTTCTCAGTTGGTGGAAAACTGCGACTAGATCCTCAATGGACTTTGCAATATGTCGCATGCCTCGAATCTGATTGCTGAAGCTCATTAAGAACTAACTGGCGAACCTGAACCAGCGGAGCGATGTAATCCTCAGATAACTGTGATACTTGCACTTCAAAATGCGCTGCTGTAGGTTCCGCACTAGGGCGAGATTTTGGACCGGTTTCCGCATGCGTTGACACCTGCTCTGTCATTTGTAGGATCGACCGGACACCGTGCAGGAGCGTCAAACACTCGGCTTGACCAGTATTGCTGAACGCCAGGTAGTTACCGGGCTGCGGGCCTCTACCTAGCGTGCAGAAGCACATGAATGACGACGCTGCATAGAGTGCATGGTAGGTGTCAGGATTCAATCCAGTCACCGATGGTATGAGTTGACGAAGGGCAACAGCAAAATGTCGCTCAGCTCGTTCTAGGTAGGGTTGAGTGGCACTAGACATCTGCTGAGGGCAGGCTTCCCGTAAGTGTGCGATGTGGAACCCGCTGAAGGCCAAAAGAAGACGCAGCACGTAATTGAAAGAGAAACCCAGCTCCGGAAGCCGTCTCTGCAAGAGCTGCCGACCAGCTTCGTCATCGGCCAGGGTCAGGGATGTGGATGACAGGTAATTGTGAAATAGCTCCATATCCAGCGCAGAAAATTCAAACGGGTAGTTAGCCAAGGCCGATGAGAACCCCTGTCCCAATATTCCGTACGGGGGATACAAATTATATCGTCGACTATGTTTCCTTTTCGGTATTTGGAAGTCAAAGAGGAAAGAGGAGATGTATGTATGCCCGTCGTCCCGCGCCGACTGTCCCCGACTGCCCTCCGGCAGGTTTAACGATGGCGAGTTTAATGATGGCGAGCCCCTATCAACCAATTCACCAACTGCATAATCGCAGTTCATAACGTGTCGCGTGCACTGTCCGCACATAGGTTTGACTTCGTCGCACTACTCCAGTCGTCAGACGACGTCGTATGACCTCAACACCATGTTTCTAGAACTTGCCTTGACCCTTCGCTGTTTGCAATTACCACAACCCAAACGCGACTTACGGTGGGATTTGCGGGAACGTGCGCTGACATACGCGTTTAATACAGGGACCATTGCGTTATGTATTAGGCTACAGACAGGGAACGACCCTGGTCTAATCCTATTCGTGCAAGATGTGCGGGAGATATGAAGGGACAAGAGCAGAGTGTGGCTGCTGCCTTTCTGAAGTGGTTTGAGATGAGGGAACAGAGTTCCTTACTCTTACTACCAAGAAGAGAAAAGGGCCAATTGTCAGGTGGCGAACGCGCTATTCCGAATGCGGGCGGCAAGCGGTTGATGCGCCGATGAATCTCCGACCCAGATTTCAATAAAGGCCCGAGAACCATTATTGGTCTTCTGCTGCACAAGCCCGGAAATGCCTGTGCCTCTCGCCTGACCCAACATGCCTACTCCCATTCCACATGACCGAAATGGTCGTTACCTAAGCAGCTGAACAAGAATTATTGGACGCGAAGCCGAACTGTATGTTCAGCGTAAGCATTCCATTGCTGGTGCCTCACAGAAGGTGATAAGCGATTCTCAAGAATTATTGGCCGTGCAATATAAACTAAATTACTGCCCTGAGGGTCTTACTTATATAGGTATCCTGGATTGAAACAGTCAATCAGCGAAGTGTGCCATTTCCTTGGATCATATGCTTAACATGTGGCTGTCAATACGCAGGGAGCATTTGGCCTCTGAGAGACTGTTCGCACTACATAAGAAATGTCGAAGTGACGGAACAAAAATTGGACTGAAGGAATGAATCAAGCCAAAATTCATGAGGGCGAGGCAGCTTAGTGAAGATGAGAATTTTATATTATTATCAAGGGTATCTCAGTGCTCACAGTATAATTGCTCCAGCCTCCGTGGCGAAACTGCCGGGGCCTATTCCATATGAGGAAGTCCGTATTCGTAGCAGCGATAAGCTTTCATTCTATTTTGTTTTGTGGAGCCAAAGTATACTTTCCCTGCTTCCTCATTGCTAACAAATAACATTAAACTGCTGGCCCACTTTCAGTCGGCCACCATTCGGAATATCCACCATGCCTGTTAAGCACTTTGACTCCTTTCCTCGGTTATAGCCCCCCTATGGACCCAGCTCGTCTCGAAACGGAAAGTTTGTCTGATTTCTCATAGTGCCAAGAAGGAGACAGGGCCAATGGTGGAGATGTCTAAACCATTGTTGGTAATTCGCTTTCGGATTCATATGCTGTACCTATTCTATCTTCCGTGGATTTCTATCTGCCCTGCTCGCCGTAGTCTCTGCCACACCTGCACGAAGGACTACCGCATGCATAGCGACGGGTATATAACCTTGAAAGACATCTACGACTCAGAGCACTACGACTACCGTCAGTTAATATTCCATTTTAGAATCCTACAATGGTATTTCCTTGGTTGATGATCATTTTGGGAGCGGTTTTCCGCGTCGCTGAAGCGGCTTCTCTGCCAATCGTTGACCTAGGATACGAGTTACACCAGGCAAGCTCGTTCTCCGTAAGTAAAGTTCCTGGAAATATTTGTTGCGATCTTCTGAAAGCACCATATATTGATCGGTTTCCAGAATGAGCACAGTTGGTATAGCTTCGGCAACATTCGATATGCTGCTCCACCTTTGGGCCAACTTCGCTTTCAGCCACCCGTACCACCCATGACAAATCGATCCGAAATCCAGACCGGAGACGTAGGGAGAGTATGCCCCCAGGCAGACATGCCTCAGTGGGAACTGGCCCAGCTTATTCGCTTCCTGAAGAGCCTGAGCCTGTTCCCGAAAAGTTTCCTGCTGAAGGGGAATTCGAGCAGTGGGCCATTCCACAAGTGCCCTATGATACTGAAGGCGGGCCTAGCGCTTCTTTATCTCATAGCGATACTTCCAATCACGAAAAACTACCCAAGGCCCCTGATCAAACACAAGCACAAGGCCACATAGCGAGAATTTCATGCGCAGACTTAATGCTGTATCAGAATTGGGAAAGTCTGTCCTCGAAATATAAAAAGAAAAGGGCTATTAAGCTTGCATGAAGGGGTCTTCTTCTTCCAAGCGAAGGTGGTTTTATTTCAATATTTACAATTTGAGAATGATTTGGAGCAACTTTAATCAACCAATCGAATATCTGACTGCCTATTCCTAGATCCAACAATATCAAAAGAGGACAAATAGACGTATAGGTGCTAAGGAAATCCTGTAAATTAAAAGAGAATGATGAGCCTTGGCCGAAAAACAAAGTTTTTTGAGTTTCAATCTTCCCAGTTGATTCGTAAAGATGCATCTTTTCTCAAGCACCATCTACTATAGCTTTCATTTTGCCAATCCTTCTTTCTATGCCGAGATTGTGGCTTTTCAACTACTTCATCCACGTGCTGCACGCCAAGGACAGAGGCAAGAACTTCAGTCGGCATCTGCGAGACTCTTCGGGGAAGTAGTCCTTTCTCGGCGGTTCTTCCGCTATATATATCTCCACATTTCTCATATCTCCTAGAGCTGCCTTTCACGACCGTCGAGCTGATGCTCAATCCCCGCCATGCTGGAGTTTCTGTCCCACTTGGCATAATCCCTCTGAAAGCGATCATATGTTTCCATGTCGAAGGTACGGCCAGCATAGCGGAACCAATCTTCAACAGCGCCGTGGAAGCGCGCTACTTGCCAGCTGGCCGACGTCAGCTGAGTGATACCGTTGAGTTATCAAGTGCTTCAGTGCCCGCAGGTCTCAGCGATTGGATATAGCGAAAACTGGGTCAATCATCTACCAATCAGCTCGTGCTGTGGAAGAGATGTGTTGTCCTCAGGAGGTACAGCTGCTGCTTTAAAGCGGGGTAGACCGTCTCCCAGAAAAGTGTTCGTAACCCCATCCAAGGGCATGCTCCGAGCTTCCAGCGCAATCTTTTGACATCCTATAGTCCCACTACCGGCAACCAGATTCAACATGCCACGCAAGGGACGCAAAGCTGCGAACTTGTGGTCGCTCCACCCGAAGCTTCATAACGACGTAACACAGCTGTTAGACGAGGAAGGTCTTCAAATAGACTTCTTTGACGCCGATGATGAGGAACCCAACATCGAGAAACGAGACACGAACGTCATTGGCCGATTCATTCGCCAAAACAGGGGATGTAACTCCAGTGGTTGATCGAGCAAAAAGATAGCGATTACAAATCGCATGTACCCCCAACAGCGATATAATGCGTGGGTGTATCACCAGCGATGCAGAAATTGCAGAGCCGTTGGTCGGCTCGTCCTAGATAGCGGGTGCTATCCGGAAAGAGTGACATACTGGCTCAAACAATGGAATGGATCTGAGGTACGGCAACCCAATTACTCTGGCCAGAGCAGAGGTCCACACGATAGTAAACTGTGTGAAGAGTGTAAAGTTGGTCATTGTCCCAACTCGAATGAGGACTTATCATCGGTGCTGGCTAGGTAAGATTCGTACCTGGAGTTCTAATATAGAAACCAACTTTTCTAGATTGTCTATCTGAGCGATGCGCTACCTGGTATGCAAGCGATCCTCAGTCTGAAAGTCCTTGGGCCCACCATCCAGCCCGGGAGGCACAGCTTTGAGACGGAGATTTCATGGTCGGAACTCTAATAAGATTGATTAACAGTCTGGTGTTACTACTTGATTCCTGGTTTCTGGTGTATGACTCTCAGTATGAAATCTATTAGCACTGCTTATTTAGGAGCAGCTGCTTATAGTTAAAGGCCATAAAATAACATAAGACTCTTCTAGAGGGCTTAAGCCTAATCTTTTTCTTAATATTTCATTCCCATATAAAAAAAGGAATGCGAGATAGAATGTGTAACGGCGGGACTGGGAAAAGAGCATACTAAATTAAAGCAAATCTTAGTTTACCCTGGTGGTGTATTGTTCAATAAGACCATATAGAAAAGCGTGCCCGCAACAATATACATACTTATAGCAGAATCTATAGAACCCTCCAAGCCCATAATGGAATAATAAGACAGAGCTCTATAAAGGTAAACACTAAGCTTCCTCCAAAAACCAGGCTATGGTAAGTCCATGTATTGTTAGGATTGAGTTTGGTAATTTGGCAGGCAACAGCCCAAGGGAAGATATAGAGACTGTTAGAGATGAGAGACTGTCCTAGATATCACGGTGGACGGGTAGTTAATAGTATAGTCGCCAGCTGAGTGGATATTGCATATAATATATAGCACCTGTATATATCTTTGTAAGATATTGGAGTCCGCATAAGGGGGTTGTTGCAGTCCTCGCCGATCTATTGTTTGCTGCATGTGTGCTGTGATCTTAGCTACCGAATCTGATTGACTGAAATAGAATGTAAATGATTTGCAGCTAAATATGACCAGGAATATACAAAGTGGCATCTTAATAGCCACTGCAATAGCAGCGGCAAGAAACGCTGGTCGTGCCACCACTAAAGAAGATGAGGATCTCGGGAAAAACAGTTGTTTGTGAGTTCGCAGGAGCTTCTGTTCGGTTCTTAGTTCTCGGATCTTTGTCCTCATTGTCTCAATTATTTCGGTCTGGTGTTTGAGCGCCTCACTGAAGCTGTTGAAATACTGTCGGACATCTTGGTTCGTCACCCGTGATTTTCTTTGCATGAAGTTCACCCAATAGGCATACAAATACTGCATCAATCCCTGGGTCCGTCACCGTCCCTGTCAAGCGTTCCAGCTCTCTTCGATTGACTTCATAGCTGATGAAATCCTCCCAGCTAGTAAAAGTCTGGCCTTCAAGCGGCTTACCTGTCCCCCAGATAAACCTTTCGCCGAATGCTCGCCTCGTGAATTCAGATGGCTCAGCTACTGCGGCAATAATGCCTTCGCCAGAACTGTGAATCGGCTCAGCATAAGAATAGCCACGGTATCCTGCGCCGATTATGAGAATTCGAGGTTTTGCTCCCAAGTGGCAGCTTTTCTGGGATGTGGTAGGTACGGCTATAGGGCCCTTGGGTCTTGTATACCGAAACAACTGCACTATTGCGGACTTGCCTATGAAATGGTAATAAAATGACAATGAAATGAAAAGGTCTGGGGATTGGGGGGTTGAGACTGCAGGGAGATGATAGGTTTTGAACACGTTGGAAGCCGCCGTTTATCATAAATTTGCGGTCCTCGGCTTACTACCTCTGGCCCGCATATTACGAATTTTCCTTTCCAATTTTACTATGCAGGTATTCGCAGTAGTCTAGAGAGCCATCAATCCGTATTGAAATTACGGCTTCCTATGGAATCATTCTGGCTATCACAGAAATCTGGTGTTTAGTACCGTATAAATAACAAATTACGGTCGAGTTCAAAATATGTTGGATATCCCATTTCCACGCCAGTGAGTCAGGGAATTCGGAGAATGACGGCCAGAGGTAGTAAGGCCAGAGCGAATCTATTTCTGGGCCAAGTATACAATTGGTTTAGCCTGATGCTCATCTGGTTCTAGACTCTTGTTATGAGGTATATTTCTCCAATTAAAATTGAGGCCATGACTCGTCAAACTTCGGAACTGGCGTGTTAATTACGCTACTGGCTTTACTGCTTCCCTTCAATAATAAGTTAGTCTGTACTTATATGAATAGTTGTAACAAAAGTCCAGGATCGAAAGGCTCATCGTGTGTTTTCATGGACTGATCTATAAAAAGCTTTCCTGATTAGCTTTGAAGTGATTGATGAAAATCTTCAACGAGACTTTTACACTGGCTGTCCATGACGGGTGGCGGTTAATATGAGGAAACAAATGGCAAATAAGGAATTGTGTGGCCTCCTACAATTTTCATGTTAGTTGTCGCGAATAAGATACCGTTAGGGACTACAGTGCCGCAGACGACATCTACTGGCCAAATTATCTCATGCATCATGCATGAGGGCACGCCATCTCTTGCTTAGGCAATCTCACGCCGCTAACTAGAAGCAGTATAAGTAGAAAGTGACTAGCGCAGTCCGATTGTTGCTTCATGACAGATAACTTTCAAAATAAGCTGGCCTTTATGCAAAACTAAAATTTTCGTGAGGAATAGGATACGTCTTTATTCCTATGTAGTGATTTTTGCCATAGCAATTTCCTCACTGGACCAAAGGTAAGCTTTACTTTATGAGCTTGTTCCAACGTTTTCAACTACCGAGCGCGCCTTGGTTTTGATCTCCCGCCTCGAAGGATCCTCTTAGATATGGGTGCTAAGAGGGGACTGAAGAGGCTTAGAGAGTGTAGGGTCAGCGGGGAAGTGGGGCCGCTTTCAGCCTCTCTTTGCGTCAATTACCCCTGTATATACCACTATTAAATATGTAACCTCAATTGCGGAGTACAAACACCGGAGAAAGGCATGTTCAACTCCAGGAAAGCAGAGGTTCACATGTTACGTGAGATTCAGCGGGAAGTGGAGCCGCTTTCAGCCTTTCTGATAGAGTGTTATTCTTAACCAGTAATCTTCTGATTTATATCAACTACCCCTGTATATACCACTTTTATTAAATGTAACCTCAATTACGGAGTACAGAACTCCGTGTTAAGCCTTGCTGAATTCCAGAAAGGAAGAGGACACCGGTCTGCCGACAGACTCAGCACGTAATTACCACGCCCCTGACCTCGTACTCAGCAGACCTATTTCTTATATATGTGTCTCTCTAAAGAACCTCTATTCTATCAAGTGCCTCATATTTTCGCTAAGTACAACTTGGCAATCCGAGACTGAGTCATCATGCAGAGGCCTACTGAGCAAAAAACTCTAGAACAAGAGCCCCTAGATGAAAATCTGCCGGAGGGTGAAGAGGAACGGCATATCCATGGAATTAAAGTAAGTGTGTTTAGATTGAGATTGAAATTGAGTGGTTACTGACAGCTGTAGTGGTTTCTTTTGGTTGCTAGCACGTTAACAGGCAGCTTCATCTATGCTCTGGATAATACCATCGTGGCTAATATTGCACCGGTTTGTTAATTCTCAATTACTACAAGAAGGAAACTCTGACAAATGTAAAGGCTATCGTTAATCATTTTGATGCGGTCGAGAATCTGCCGTGGTTATCAGTTGGGTGAGTTTTAATAGGAAAGGTTTTATTGATGAGCACCTCTAACAATACCCGGGGGAAATAGGTTTATGATCGGTGGAGTGGCAATGGTTCTTATTTACGGCAAGCTATACGCTCTGTTTAACTCGAAATGGCTGTATATCACGTCCACTGTTATCTTTATGGCTGCCTCTGCACTCTGTGGCGCCGCTCCTTCCATAAACGCTGAGATCGTTGGACGCGTTTTTGCAGGCGCAGGTGGAAATGGAATGTACTTCGGCATTCTAGAACTACTATCAACGAATACCACGAGCCGTGAGCGTCCGCAATACTTGAGTTTGACGTGAGAGAGAGCCCTCTACGTGAACTTGACGACAGACTTGTTGACAAGGACACAGAGGCCTAGTTTGGGGTTTAGGAACCGTCCTTGGTCCCGTCGTTGGGGGTGGATTTGAAAAGTATACCTGGCGCTGGGCATTCTACATTAATCTTCTTTTCGGCGCCATTCTTATACCGACCTACCTTTTCGTGATTCCGTCCAAGGTTCCAGTACCTGAAGTGCCCTATCGACAAAAGCTTTCTAGTTTTGACTGGGTTGGTAGCTTACTGAACGTTGCTGCATTTGCATCCCTAGTGATGGCAATTAACTTTGGTGGCACTCTATATGCCTGGAATAGTGGGCAAATTATTGCTTTGTTCATAGTGTCAGGGACACTTTGGATCTTATTTGGCATCCAGCAAGGTTTTACTATTGCCAGCTCCCTACAGGGTCGGTTACTGCCAATGCATCTTTTTAGGCAGAAGGAACCGACCCTACTATTCTTTGCTTGTGCTGCAGTAGGAATGGTGACATATCCAACTGTGTACTACATACCCATCTACTTCCAGTTCACTCGGGGCGATGATGCAATCCACTCTGCCGTCAGGTTGCTTCCCTTTATCTTTATATTGATTGTGGCCATTCAGTCAAATGGCGCATTAATGTCTCGCTTTGGTTATTATAAGCCATGGTACTTACTCGGAAGCATAGTAGCCCTGATTCCAGCAATTCTGATAGGTTAGGTGATAACTGTTCTTTATGTCTCTGTCAAAGCTAATCAAAACATAGCTACTATTATCCAAGTCCACACAAGACCGGCCATTCTCTATGGACTTGAAATTGTAATTGGATTAGGGGCCGGTTCATATACTCAGGCAGCCTTTGCTGTGATCCAGGCCGTCGTAGCCCCCTCCGAAGCTGCAGATGGTCTTACTCTGATGCTGCTAGGTTCGTCTAATCCTGTACTTTTTCGGAAAATCTCTTACAATAAACCAGCTCAACTCCTTGGAATGACCCTTGGACTATCAATCACCGGTGCAATTTTCGTTAATGTCGCCCAAAATGGCCTTTTCAAGTTGCTTCCCAACCTACCCCGGGAGCAGGTTTCTCAAGTTGTCTCGGGA